GTTCTTGTTATGTTTGAAATTGGGATATCAAAAATAATGGGGTTTTTTGTTAGTGGGGTTTTTTTTTCCTTTTTTTTTCTTTCTTGCTAGGGAAACAAGATCAAACCTGGGCTTCTTTCTGTTTAAGGCACAATGACAGTGAACTTGACATAAGCCTCATCCAAAGACCACAACAACAGGCAGAATTACCTCTGTCATGTCTTTGGTATTACTGAAGTGTTTAAGGCCAAAATTACCACTCAGGGCTATGATTTTTTTTTTCCCACTTTTTGAGAGGATTTATTGTTTTGTTTTTTTTTTTTATTTGGGAAAGTGTTAACACCCTTATTATCATCCTGAGAGTTTATTCTGAATTTGATTCAGTGCATTTCAGAACTCACTGTATGGGAAGAAATATACTGACCCTGATAAATATCAGCTCATTATACAAAACCTTCAGCTTTTGCATCTGGTCCTGGTCAGTTCCACAGTTTGATTTTCAAGCAAACAAAATATCCTAGATATGCTCACAACTGATCTGAGCTTTATAAAGAAAAATCCACGAACATTTTTAGTAACTCCAGGTTTGTAAGGAGTACAGATAAATTTTATTTGGGGTGGTTTAACTTCAAATATGATCTCTTGATTCTAGATACATTGGAATGGAAAAATCCAAACACAACCACTTCTGTAGCCATGCCAGCACAAACACATCCTTCATTATTCCTTGTCAGTTGGAGCTTAAAATGAGAAAATCTCAAGCCAATAAATTAAAGCTCAGCATCTTTACACATTTATGCCAAATCTGTTCTGTTTGTGCTACTGTAAGATTTAAAAGGCTAGGTAGAAATGTTTCTGCACTGTGCTTGAGCTGACCCAGAGGCAACAAACTGGCAGCTCGTGCCCTTTGAGGAGACCTCAAAAGTAAAGATGGTTTTAGTCTCTTAGATGCCTTTTGAAAGGGTTGGGAACTGTGAGTTAGGATTTGTGTTACACCCCAGCATAAACCGAGGGTGGGTTATTGAGTTCATTACTATACTTTCCTAAAATCAACCTTTGTCCAGGTCAGCTAAAAAGGCAAACGAGGCAGGAATTGAATTCAATACAAAACCTGAGCCTGCTGGAGCAGCTGTGAGGTGTGGGAAACCTGAGGCACTCAACATGCAGAGCTTTCTGTCTGTAGCTCTGAGCAGTGCCGTGCTCAGCAGTGCAGATGGAACAGTGGGCCTGGAAAGAAACACCAAGGACTGTAGATAGATAAAAGATACTCCATCTTGATCTTTCTCAAATCAGTATATACATTTACTACTTTTTTTCTTTATGGGCTAAACGATAAAAAAAAAAATTCCCATCATGAGAAAATTTTACTTTAAGGTAATGAATCTGTACATTTAGGAAAGAGCTTACATAAGTTTCTTATTTACTGCTTTCTTAGGTTCTCCAGGCTGCCTTTCATCAGTGCTTCTTTGATGTCTTGCTCTCTACCCAGATTGCCAGAAGGCTTTCTGTTGCAAATGCAGGTGTTTTCAACTGTTAGATACAGTTGTGTTGTATTATTCATCACCTCAATATAAAAATGTATTAGCGGGACACTTATTTTACACAGAGGACAAAACAGGGATAATTGGAAAGATGGCAGACTGTATATAGACGAAGATGTTGCTTGGTGAGACACGTTTGGCAGTGGAGGAGACAGGTTTGCATCTGTGTCGCTGCTGTTTCATGTATCAGTCCTTGAACCTTTAAAGCACTGTTTTTGTAACAGACTGCCATGCCCATCAGGCTGGCATCTGAAACTAATTAAACATGGCTTTTGAGAAGTACAGCTCTATTCACAGAGAGCACCTGGAAATCGTCGTGGTGTGTCAGGGTTATTTGTTATATACCGGTGCTTTTTCCTGGTTTTTTGTTGTTTTAGTGCTTGGTAAAAACCTGTGTGTGTGAAGCCAGGTCTTCCCTGAGCTGCTGAGAATTACTAGAGATGCCGGTGAATGGATCAGCATGTCAAGGGCAATCTCCAGGCTTGTTACACAGCAAAATGAACACCTCAGTCCTCCTCCTGACAAAGATTTCTCTGCAACACTTGCCCTGTCATTCAGAGATAGCTCTGTGTGCCACACAGACAAAGCAGAGGGACACGAATAGGAGGCTGGGGAGTTGTGACCCTGCTCAGAGATGTGCAGTAACCCTGCTTTAACGATGCCAGCTGCAGAGGACTGGTACTCACCTTTCCACTCCGCTCAGCTGCTTCAGAAATGGAGGCAGAGCATTGCTGGTGAGAAAGAACCAAAGCTGGACAGTGAAACCAAATAAAACATATTTACCAGAGATGGTAAAGGGATGAAGGAGAATCAGGGCAGAGGAGGATTAGGAGAAGGGTTGGGGGCACAAGTAAGCCATTCAAAAGCAGATCAAATGCCCGAAAATTGTTTTCCCCTTCTTCCCATAAAATATTCCTTATCTTTCTTCTCCTCTATCAGCTTTCCCTAGGTGGACATATTATGGTCTGTGCATACCCATCTTTCAGGGCACCCTGGCAGTCTCTCATTTTGAACACCTGGCAACCCTGTATGCTTTGTCTCTGTGAATCCAAGCATGATCTTGGGCTGTTAAATGGCACTACAGCACTTCCATATTTTCCATCCCTCCAAAGTTCAGAGGCATCTTTTTGATGTCTGTGCATTTGCTCATCTTTACACCAATCTCAACCTTTACACCAATGGCTTTATGGAAACAGATATTCTAATCATCAGTCTTGAGAACTTTTGTCTCTGAAGACAGGAAGTTCTTCTTTTGTCTTTCATCTCTTTCAGAGAAGCCTCAGCGCTGAAAAAGCGCACAGCTCAGTACCAGGAGATGGGAATCTCTCCTCAGCCGCCTCCTCATGCTAATAACACTGCCAGGTGGTGGTGAAACCCTTTGTTTCACAGCTCCAGGTTGTGCCTGACTGCAATGGAGGGAGGTCTGTCGATTCCAGTGCCTGACACTGCTCAAGAAAGCAGCACAATGTTTTATTTCTATGGATATGAGAATTCTTCCTGAAAAGCAGATCTGGTTTGGACTTCTGGAACACGTTTAAATTCTGGTTTCTGGATTTCAAATAGCCTCTGGCAGTTCATGACAGTGAGGAAACATGATGTTTGTGTTGCCTGCTAAGTATGCCATCGATCTTCTTGGCCCTGACCGTGATCTTTGGTAGTGAATGCAACCATAGAGTTATATTGAGTGAAAAAGTATCTCCTTCAATCTGTTTCTAATTTGCTAATATATATATATATATCTATCTATATTAGGAGACTATATATAATGGTATCCTTGCTTTCTATGCCATAAACCCAAAATGAGGATTCTTTTTCTGTTGTACTCTACCATTTCTAGGCATGTACCTCTAAATTCCCCATCTCTATTTTCTTAGGTGAAGATTTTTTTTTTTAACTCTCTGCTTAGATATGCATCTTTCCAGAGCCTAAATCATTCATCTTTCCTTTTAATTCTGCAGTCCTTGTGATGGGATAACCTGTACCATAACCTTCTTCCAGATGAGTTCACACATTAGGCAGAAGACAGTGTTGCAATTTGGGTATGGCTCAGCAGGTCAGAGCTTGGCATATTTGTCACTAAGGTGCCCCTCACTATCTAAAGCCTTTCTAAATGAGTGCCACATTTAACTCTTTGGTTGTTTATTTCCCAGTGTCTGTTTTGGGAGAAAAGGTGACTTTAGTTAACTCTAGTTTTGTTTTAAATACCCCCCCATATGCAGTACAAATGTTATATACAACAAAGCTTGTGAGATACTAGGGGCCAGACTGGCATTATTCAAAGCACATAGAGACAGTATTTTTCATTAATCCTTATTTTTCACTAATTTTTTTGCTCAGGTCATGTTTCTTCCATGAAGTCAGCAACTGTTTCTATAATCTTATAATCTGACACGGGATTTACATGGTTTAAAAAGGGCTTTACTTCTGCTGTGGCTGTAGAGCTGGAGCAGAGCTGGTCTTGTTGTGCTGAAAGGATGGTGACCTGTACTAGGTGTGCAGCAAAAGGCGGATTCCTCAGGGCACCGTGACTGTGCTCTGCTCCCCGCCAGCCTCAGCTTTCCACCATGGTTTTCCCAGGAGAGCTGCCGGCTCTCACGGCCGTGCCAGGGCCACCAGATCCCAAAAGCTCTCATCAGTGCGCTGTGGGCAAACCGAAACCATGGATTCTCCCTTAAGAGCCGCGGTAAGCTCTTCCTAACAGCCCCCAGGCCGTGGTTCCCCGACCATTTTGGGTTGAGCTGCTGGCAATTCACACATTTCGGCGGTGGGCTGGGCGGAGAGGAGCCTGCGTGCAGGCTGCGCTCTCCTCGCACCTCTCCACGCCCCGGTCAGCGAGGGCTGCCCGGGCAGCGCCCGACTCACGGCTGGCTCCGTGCCGATGCCAGGGCGGGCTGTGCCGTGCTGTACCGTGCCGTGCCGAGCCGGGCGCAGCCGTGCTGTGCCGTGCCGTGCCGTGCCGTACCGTGCCGTGCCCGCTCCTTGCGGCCGCGCCGCCCGCATCTGCCCAGCGGCGGCGCGCCTGACGGGGCAGGGGCGGGCCCGGCGCGGAGGGCGGCTCGGTCCGGCCCGGCTCGGTTCGGTTCGGTTCCGGCAGCGGGACCCGCCTCGCCGGGCGATGCCTGAGCGCGGCGGAGGCGGCGGCGGCGGCAGCGGGGGGGCGGGCGGGTAAGCGGCAGCGGGGACGCGGCGCTGCTGCCCTGCCTTTCCCTGCCCGCCGCTGGCCCTTCCCCCGCCCCTCCCCGCTCCGGTGCGCGACTCCGCCGCCGCTCCGGGCAGGGAGGAAGGGCTGGGAGCCGCCTCCCGCTGCCCCCGGCCGCCCCCTCCCCATGCAGCCCGGCCCGCCGCTGGGAGCCCTCCCCGGGGGGATGTTTCTGCGGCCGCTGCCGGGATAACCGGCGCGCCGCCCGCCCCCGCCCCGGACGGAGGATGCTGCCCGCGCCGTGGCGGGCTCCGACTCGGGCAGCAGCGGCCGCGTCCGCCTCCTCGGCTCCGGGCAGCGTCGCCGGGGAGAGATGAGTTCGCGGCACCAGGCGGACTGGATCCCTTACAGGTAAGGGCAGACCCCGCGGGAGGTGGCGGGCGGGGCGGAGGCACCGGGGCTGCCCCTGGGCAGGAGCCGCTGCCCCTCGGGGGTCCCCGCCGCAGCCCGCGGTTCGGTCTGGGGGCCGGCTTGGCCGGACCCTCCCCGGAGCCCGGCGGGGCGGCGGCGGGTCCCGCCGGGGGGAGCGGGTCGCGGGCCGGTCCGTGCGGGCGCTCCGCGGAGGGGCGCCCGGTCCCGCCTCCCCAACTTGGGGCCGGTGGCGCTCCGCGAAGTTCGGGGGCTGCTCTCGGGGCGAGCTGTCAGCCCCGCGGGGAGCGGGCAGAGCGCGGAGCTGTCCTGCCCTGCGGCCCCGGCGGGCGGAGCGCTGCGCCGTCGGTGGCGGCTGCCGCGGCTCGGGCGCCGGGCCCGCGCTGGCCCCGCCGGCGGCGGCTCCGGGAGCGGGGCCGGGGCGGGCGATGCGCGGGGCTGGCGGGGCCGCCATGGCGGGGGAGCGGGATCGCCATGGCAGCGCCCGGCCCGCGGCTGCCATTGGCTCCGCCGTTGCCATAAGCTACGGGAGCCGCGGCGCGGCGGCGGCCCGGGAGCCCCGTGCGTCAGCGGAGCCGGCCCCGGTGCGCCTTAGACCCCCGGTGCCCTGATCCCCGAGTGTGCCGAACCCCCCGGTGCGCCCAGACTCCCGGTGCCCCGAGCCCTCGGTGCCGTGATCCCCAAGTGCGCCCAGACCCCCGGTGTGTCCAGACCCCCGGTGCCCTGATCCCCAGGTGCGCCGAGCCCCCGGTGCGCTGAGTCCCGAGTGTGCCGAGCCCCCCGGTGCTCCCAGACCCCCGATGCCCTGATCCCCGAGTGTGCCGAGTCCCCGGTGCGCCCAGACCCCCGGTGCCCCGAGCCCCCTGCCCTACCCCGGGCGCCCGGGTGTGGAGCGGCGGGAGCATCTGCGCCTGGAATAGTTCGTGTCAGACCTGCCGGACTGAGGGGAAACCGAGCCAAATATTTCGCTCCGGGCGGGCTGTTCTAGTAATAGATCCCTTTCCGAATCTGCTATTCAGAGTACGTTAACATTATGGGTTTGTTTGTTTTGTTTTGTTTGTTTGTTTTTTTAATTTTAGTTTTCGTTGAAGTGTCTTTTTCAAGCTGAGCTTTTACAGAAGGAAATCACGAGGGGTTTAACAAGGTGCTCTGAAAACGACAGAAGTCGTGTTCGTTTCGTTTGTTTGGTTGTTAGCGAAACAAGGTAGATACAGTAACATAGGACAAGAGGACGCAGCCTTACTGTGCCCCAGGGGAGGTTTAGGCTGGACGTTAGGAAAAAGTTCTTCACAAAGAGGATGATTGGGTATTGGAATGAGCTGCCCGGGCGGGAGGTGAAGTCACCATTCCTGGAGGTGTTCAAGGAACGACTGGATGTGGCACTCAGTGCCATGGTCTGGTTGACAAGTCGTAAGTTGGACTCGAAAATTTCAGAGGTCTTTTCCAACCTAATTGAGTCTGTGATTCTGTGATAAACCTTTTATTTTTGTTGTTGGTAGAGAATAATGGAATTAAATATATGTAGAGAGTTCATTTTTAAAACAAAGACAGCTGCTTAAGCAGGTCAGTTGTAGTTTGCCACGTTCTCAATGACAGTGTTTGTAGCAGACGTGTGCCACAATGAATGCAACGTGAACACGAATACATCTCTCCTCAGTACAGAGAAAAAAAAACCAGGTTAACTGCACAAGTGGAAATCTGCTATTTTGCCATGTGCACATCATAGTTCAAATCAGTAGAAGAATTTTAAAGAAAGAAACATGATTGCAACGAATCTGAGAATATTGCTACTCTCTCAGCAATAGCATTTTCAGCCCATGCATTTTGAAGAGATGTAAGGAATTGGCAATAAGGCTTCAAAAATGACTAGTGGATGCATTCTGATGCAATTTGAAGCCTTGTAATGAGGACAGAAATACCAGAGGAACAGCTGTTCATGGCTCATCCCAGCAGCAGTGGAACAGTTTCTCTGTTCTCTCACTGGCTCTGCAGAGGCCAATGCCAAAACTTTGCTCAGGGGTTTTATAGCAGTGGCCTCAAAGAAAGATATAAAACATCTCTGCTTCTGCTCAGTGCAGCATGGAGAAACAAGGGGAGGCAAAGCAGCAAATCTTCAGAGAAACACAGCTTTAATGATACTACTATCTTTTCTAATGTAATGTTATTCTTGAATGTTAATGGTGTGTTTATGGTCAGAAACTGCTGAGGACTGCTCGATACTAAAAGGCAACCAAACCACAGTTCTGCTCTAAAGTGTCTTCATTCAGGCTTCTGACAGCCTTCTCTCAAGAAGCTGACTTATTTTTCAGTCTTCAGAGGTAATTCTTGAGTTAGAGGTACATCATTGCAAATCTTCCTGGACTTGTGTGTGTAAAGCAACTTCCAGGATGCCCTATACATCCTGGCCCAGGAAGCAGTGGTGTGTGTGAATGCATATGTGACTGAGTTTACACGTGAAAGCACTGTGAATAAATCAGGTCAAAGTACATTTCCAGGGAGTGAAATACACGAGGAGGAGAGACCTGATGTGCACCCCTTGGAACAGTTCATCCTCTCTCTGAGACCAAAATGCCCCATGCTTCTCTGGCCTCTTGCTTCACATTCTTGTTTGCTGTGGTGGGTTCAGTGGGTGCTGACTCTCAGTGCTCACAGGAAGGTTCAGCACCTTTTTTATTGTCTGGGTGGCATGTGACAGCCAAGAGTGTCACTGCTGCCCGTGTGGGGGACAGGGCATAGGGGAACAAGGCATGCTGAAGTCTGGAAAGGTGCATCCTTCTAGCAGTGGAATGGATGTGCAGCTATGTCTGAATATAATAGCAGAGAAAGATTGTATTTCTGCTAGTAAAATGCCATCTTCTTCCATTCGAGTGAAATGAGCCAGAGGGAGTTAGTTCCACCTGTGTCATGTATAATTCATTAAGCAATCCACCTGCCTGTCCACAACTCACAAACTTATACTTCCCCTTTTAAGATGCTGAGAGTGAGTTAAGAAAAAATAGTAGGCAATTTTTTCAGTGTCAGTGCTCCTTCATGCCGAGGTCAAGAAAAGATTCTTATTTGTGAGTTTGTGATTTTAGTGTTTTGCCCTCATCTCTTTTAATCCCCTCTTAAATATTCTGCTTTTGAAACACTGATAGTCATAGGATGAGATTTCAGTTCGCTAATGTTATGAAAAATTGTTGGAAAGCTGTTTTAAAAAAGTAAATATATTGCATTTATTTTCATGAAACATGTTTCATAAATAGACATTTAAGCATATGATTAAGCACTTACATGAAGTTGCACATCAGGTACAATGAGCTAGGAATTGTACCCATTTTCAACAATGACTCTGCTCTTCATTATAAAGATTCAAAATAGCTCAGATGCAATTAAAAAAAAAAAATCAGCTGCAGTGCACGTAGCTGCCCCCAGCCCCAAAAGTGGTTTGCAATGGAAGTTAGGAGTAAGATGTAGCTTCTTGAGGAATTGTGTTCTCAAGCACTGTAGTGTTTTCCTTTGGTATCCTTCAGCAGTTTCCAGTAGAAAATACAATGCAGAAGTGTCTGGGAATCGTTACAAATTCACAGGAGTTCAGTTTTTTTATTCAAAAGTATATTTTTATTTCATATCTTTCTCTTGAACTCATATTTAATTTATAGCTTTCCTTAAATATAACATACTAATTTTTATTTTATGCAGTGTGTCTTGAATAAGTGAAGACATTCCTCATACTATAAAACTGCAGTCAAATAAAACTGCTGCTAGGTACGATCAAAGTATCAGTAAACTCACTTTCAGTAAGGCCTTAGTCTCTATTATTATTATTATTATTTGTTCTTATGTTTTCAGCTGCTTCTTTAACAATAAATCTTGGTCCTGTAACTTTAAAAGCAGCATTTACACGACCAGCTAACCTGTTCCATGAGAAATATCTAAACACCACCAGCTGAAAGCCAAATCCACACAGGAATTAATTTAAGTCCCCAGACTCATCTGTAAAGTGTCTGTGTTTGTGTGGATAAAGCTGCCATGGCCAGAGGGCACCCCATGAACTGTGCCCTGGGGGGACCTGGCACTGAAGGCACTGAAGAGAGCAGATCACACAGCCTGAGTTTGCAGAGGCATAATATGTCTTGATATGTACATGATGGTGGGAATAATACACATTATTTTTGTTTGTGACAGGTTTTATTATGCTCAATTTTTCTAGCTTTCATGAATTTGCTCTGAAGTTTTAAGGCTGTGCTTAGGTATTGCAGCTATAAACAGTCACAAGTTATTTACTTGCAAAGGGAAGGATTACAGTTGGAAGAAAATTGTGGAGCACAGCTGGGTTGTAAATTCATGAATCATTGCAATTAGGGCAGATAAGAAGATTTCTGAAAATGTGATGTGTAAAGAAGTCCTGGAACAAGAACGGCCTTGAAGACCAAGGGTATCCCACCTTGGTTTCTGTGTGCATTGTTGAGGTGGTGGGATGTTCTGTACCCTTAAGTTTTGGCACTGTGAAGGCGGCAGTGCAGGTGAGTGCTCACCTTGCTGCAAGGTGCAGCTTGTGAGCATCGCACTGCAGGCAGGCTGGCTCCCAGCCTCCTGCCGTGGGGAATCATTTCCAGCAGCTGCTTTTCCTAAGGAAAAGGGCTCAAAGACTGGCTGTCCTCTTCCCTGAAACAGGCTGTCTTGTCTCAGGCTATTCAGTGTATAAAATTAGCCTGCTCGTGTGCTTTTAAAACATTAAAGTTAGAGCTCTCCCTTAATGGAACTCTGTGCTCCTGCATAGAGTGTCCGTGCTGTGGTGCACAGCGACTCCAGCAGAGATCAAAGGTGCTTTGCCCAGCATCAGGGACATGTCAGAGGCTTTTTTTACCCCGAATCTGGTAGCCTAAATCAACCAGGAAGAAAAGAGAGGTGAGGAAAATAGAAGTATTCCGAGTATGGAAGCTGCGAGGTGTTGGCTTAAATGGAAATGGGACAAGGCTCAAGGGAGATGAGCTGCAAAG